ATTCTGCAAATATTTAAAAAAGTAGTACCGTATTTTCCGGCGTATAAGACGACTTTTCAACCCCTGAAAATCTTCTGAAAAGTCGGGGGTCGTCTTATACGCCGGTGTGAGCCGGGTCAGGGCTGCACTTTTTCGAGGGGCGGCGCGGCGCCACCCCCCCTCCTCCTCCAGCGGACACTAAGTACACGGGTGGGCAGAGGGGCTGCTGTACCTTACCTGGCTCCGGTCCCACGACGATCCGGTCCAGGAAGCGCGGCTGCTCCTTCTTTCAGTTCGGCCGCTCGATGGTCACGCGGCCGCTCGGCTCCGCCTCCTCACCGGTGATTGGGCTCCAGCACTGGAAAGGCACACAGGCGACCAATCACCGGCGAGGAGGCGGAGCCGAGCGGCCCCGCAAAAATCGAGCGGCTGCACTGGAAGAAGGAGCAGCCGATCCTCTCCCCCACTGACACTAACGATGGGGCACTATTCCTCCTCCACACTGACACCAACGATGAGGCACTGTTCCTCCCCCACTGACACCAACGATGAGGCACTGTTCCTCCCCCACTGACACCAACGATGAGGCACTGTTCCTCCCCCACTGACACCAACGATTAGGCACTGTTCCTCCCCCACTGACACCAACGATTAGGCACTGTTCCTCCCCCACTGACACCAACGATTAGGCACTGTTCCTCCCCCACTGACACCAACGATTGGGCACTGTTCCTCCCCCACTGACACCAATGATGAGGCACTGTTCTCCCCACTGATACCAATGATGGGGCACTATTCCTCCTCCCCACTGACACCAATGATGGGGCACTATTCTCCCCACTGACACCAATGATGGGGCACTATTCCTCCTCCCCACTGACACCAATGATGGGGCACTATTCTCCTCACTGATACCAATGATGGGGCGCTATTCCTCCCACTGACACCAATGATGGGGTGCTATTCCTCCCACTGACACCAATGATGGGGCACTATTCCTCCCACTGATACCAATGATGGGGCACTATTCCTCCCACTGACACCAATGATGGAGCACTATTCCTCCCACTGACACCAATGATGGGACACTATTCCTCCCACTGACACCAATGATGGGACACTATTCCTCCCACTGACACCAATGATGGGGCACGATTCTTCCCACTGACACCAATGATGGGGCATGATTCTTCCCACTGACACCAATGATGGGGCACTATTCCTCCCACTGACTAATGATGGGGCACTATTCCTCACACACTGACACTAATGATGGGGCACAATCATTGGTGTCAGTGGGAGGAATAGTGTCCCATCATTGGTATCAGTGGGAGGAATAGTGCCCCATCATTGGTGTCAGTGGATGAAATAGTGCCCCATCATTGGTGTCAGTGGATGAAATAGTGCCCCATCATTGGTGTCAGTGGGAGGAGTAGTGCCTCATCATTGGTGTCAGTGGGAGGAATAGCACCCCATCATTGGAATACCATACTGAAATACCATACCATATTGAAATCAAATCTGATGTTTTTTCATTTTTATTTGGTGTGCGTTGGAAGAGGGGTAGTCTTATACGGCGAGTATAGCTCAAACCTTATATTTTAACAGGAAAAGTAGGGGGTCGTCTTATACGCCCAGACGTCTTATACGCCGGAAAATACGGTAATTACTTCTGCCCATTTATGTCCCCAAATGCATTTCTCTGTTTGGCCTAGTTACAGCAATGCCAAACATGTATGTGTTATTCACATATTGTGTTTATTTGTGTGCATTTGACTTTATTTTGTGTATTTATATTTTCAGGCCTTAGAATACACAGGAAAAAACACCCTAAATTCTGATAAGTGAGCTCTATTTACAATAATAGACACTAAAATACAGAAATGTACTCTTTTTTTTTTGTACATGCACCAAAGATACATTTGTTTCAATAATTTTTGCTTTGGAAGGATTTATTTAGTTTAGAGTTGTTTAATCCTACAACGTTTACCTAGATAACTGCTGCCTTGTGCAAAATGACCCAAAATATATATTATTCATTACCAGTACGTCTGGTAAAGCCCAAAAATGTTAAGGCATATTTGGTTTAAAGAGAGTAGTTTCTGTATAGTAACTTGTACAGTTGCACTCAATGCACTGTTTAATTGGGCAACTATGTGGAAAATGAGGTTTAATGTTGATAAATGTAAGGTTATGCGCTTGGGGGCTAAGAATATGCATGCATCATACATACTAGGGGGAGTACAATTGGGGGAATCAATGGTGGAGAAGGATCTGGGAGTTCTGGTAGATCACAAGCTTAATAATGGCATGCAATGCCAAGCTGCGGTTACTAAAATGAGCAAAATCCTCTCTTGTATTAAAAAAGGTATAGAGTCCAGAGAGGGAGATATAATTTCCCCTGTACAAATCATTAGTAATACCTCATCTGGAATATGCAGTTCAGTTTTGGGCACCAATTCACAAGAAGAACATTGGGGAACTGGAGAAAGTACAGAGAAGGACAACCAAATTGATAAGAAGAGATCAGCATGGAAGAGCTCAGCTTTGAGGAAAGATTAGAGAAACTGAATTTATTCTCTCTTGAGAAAGGAGATTAAGGGGGGATATGATCAACATGTATAAATACATCAGTGGTTCATATACTGAACTTGGTGTACTTATTCACCCTGAGGTCATCACAGAGGACAAGGGGGCACTCTTTATGTCTGGAGGAAAAGAAATGTAATCTCCAAACACGGAAAGGATTCTTCACAGTAAGAGCTGTGAAAATGTGGAACATATTCCCTCAAGAGTCGTTTCTGGCCAGCTCAGTGGATTGCTTTAAAAAAGTCCTGGATTCTTTCTTGGATACACAGAATATAACTGGATACTAACATGTATAGGTAAAGTTGATCCAGGAATATCCGATTGCCTCTCGGGAAATCAGGAAGGAATTTTGTAGGAGCAAATTAGATCATGCCTTGCTGGGTTTTTTATCTTCCTCAACTGTGGGTGTAGGATTATACCGTGTTTTTTCATGGTTGCACTGAATGGACTTTTGTCTTTTTTTAACCATATATATATATATATATATATATATATATATATATAATGTTTTCTGTATTTTGAGAAGCCCTTAGGTGCATAGAACACTAGAAACACTACAAAAAACAAAAAATTGGGAATAACTATAAATCTATCCCTGATGTTTGGATAGAGTGGAGAGGGATTAGAACACCTGTTAGTTTTAATTGCTGTCTGTGCCCCCATTAGGAAGAGTCACCCTCTCTATTTGTCCCGTTTACTGTTATCATCAAAAGTGAAAGTAAAAGAAAATCTCAAATATTGGACTGACACCAGAACAGTAAAAGAGAGGGAAAATTCCAATGACCTGGGTAATGCCCCAGGATTTCCTCAGTTTTGAAGGATTTCAACCTCACTTCCTGTTTTGGCTATGGGACAGGAAGTTGAGGGAAATTTCTCCTATGAAATACATATGGCGAAAAAACTAACAGGGGTGATACCCGTCCCTTACTTTATCCAAAATGAAAAAAAAAGTTTTGCCTTTAATTCTACTTTAGGGGTTCAAAAGCTGCCCAGGATCACTGAATTGGAGGAAAGAGGTCAATCAGCTTCTAACTTCAGCTTGTCCAATAATGCTTTAAGTACCATCTCTATGCTGATGACAAACAAATCTACCCCTCTCCTCACCCCTTCAGTCTCCTCTCGCATTACTAACCTACTAAGCGACATACTGGCATGGATGTCACTCCACTTCCTCAAACTCAATCTTTCCAAAACGGAGCTCATACTATTCCCTCCAGCCCGTGCCCCCTCCCCTGACTTCTCCATCAAGATCAATAACACAATCATCAGTCCCTCCCCTCATGCCAGGGTACTAGGTGTAATCCTAGACTCCAATCTGTCCTTTCACCCCGAAATCCAATCACTGTTCAAATCTTGTAGACTTCACCTCCGCTACATCTCCAAGATACACCCATTCCTAACCTTTGAAACCACTAAGCAACTTATTTGCTCCCTTGCTATATCTCGCCTTGACTATTGCAACTCCCTCCTCATTGGTCTACCTAATCGCAGGCTATCCCCTCTTCAGTCTATCATGAACGCTGCTGCCAGACTTATCCACCTTACTAACCGTTCTGTATCTACCACCCCTCTCTGCCAATCCCTCCACTGGCTTCCCATTGCCCAACGGATAAAATTCAAAACATTAACAATAACATATAAAGCCATTTATAACTCTGCCCCAAATTACATCACCGGTCTTGTCTCTAAATATCACCCAAACAGTACTCTCCACTCCTCGTAAGACCTCCTGCTCTCTAGCTCCCTTGTCTCCTCCTCCCATGCTCATCTCCAGGACTTTTCCAGAGCTTCCCCCATCCTCTGGAACTCTCTACCCCAATTTATCAGACTATCGCCTACTCTGCTCACTTTTATGCGATCTCTGAAAACCTATCTCTTCAGGGAAGCCTATCCTGCCCTCAGCTAATAATGGAATCTTCTACTCTTCCAACCAGTCCATCCCCCATAGTTACTACCTTTTGTACCACTAGCCCCTCCCTCCTAGATTGTAAGCTCCAAGGAGCAGGGCCCTCCTTTCCCTCTTGTACTGAACTGAGTTGTTGCTGTATTGTCTCCCGTTATATTGTAAAGCGCTGAGCAAACTGTTGGCACTATATAAATCCTGTATAATAATAATACCCCAGCAAGAAAATAAATTAAGGTTAAGTGGTAGGTACAAAGGAAAGTCCCCGAGTTACAAACATCCAACCTACATAGGACTCGTTGGTCCCGGAAACCACCTGGAGGCCATCTTGCTGCTCACCGCATGCAGCCACCTACTGTCTGGCTGACCTATCAGTAATCCCGAATCGCTGCATGGCAAGTTAACCCTTCCCTATACTATCCAAAATGTAAAAACATTTTTTTTGGCTGTTAAGTTACACTTAAAAAATTTACCTGTTCCAATTTACATACAAATTCAACTTAAAGAGTTACTAAATCCAAGATTCTGCACTCACTATATCTGGTCTCCCACAGTACACAGAACATGGAAATGCAATTATTTTAGTAAATATAAAAACTGCTAAATACCTTTTCTCATCAGTGGTCTATAGCAGTACTGTGACTTCCACCAGTGTTCTGCAGAGCACTGGTTAAAGCTTGTAGGAGGAGTTTTCATTCTCCTCTCACTGCTCTATGAGATTGCATAACCCCTGACCCTCTGTCTGGACAGTGCTGATTGGCCCTGTGCACCCTTCCAAGAAAAAGAAAAATATCTCTAGCAGTAAACACCAAACTGAGCATGTGCAGAGTGTCCCCAAGGCTGTGCTCTATCAGAAGATGAAATGGGGAACATGGAAGAAGGGGAGGATCACAGAAGACAGGATCAAACATCTTTTTTACACAATGTAGAGGATTAACTCCTTAAGTTCCACTGTGAAAATAACAAGCATGCTTTACTGCATATACAGACTAATTTTACTGTCGTGGGTTTAGTAACACTTTAAATACAAACCCACAGAATCTATCTTGTTCGTAATTGCCAAATATAAATATGTACAATTAACAAATTTTCTGTCTGTGCACTGGAGCAAAGCCTGCCAAAAATGGTTTCATCTCTATGACTAAACACTCTTAGATTAAGCTGAGCTCACCACTACCATTGGTGACATGGTCAACACTACCAAATCACAGCACATTATAACTTGCACTGATAGATGTGTTATTGGGGAATCCACAGAGTGGAAAGATGGAAAGAAAGATAGATAGAAAATAGATAAATAGAAAGATAGATTACAGCAACTTTGACTTCCAGCAACTGACTGTGCGACCTGAGACTTATCTTCAGCTGTGCATGGTCTTATTTGCAGCAAATCTGGTCTTCAATAAATGTGTCTGAATCTGCCAGTTATGCTGGTGAAAGGTTTCTTCTCATTGCTTACAGGATTTTTTAGGCCTTGATTTGTAGAGATATTCTCCAGCACTCTGCCATGGTCATATATGTTGCTTGGCTTACTTTATTGGACTATATATTTCCTCAAAAGGGCACAGAGTGACCAAAACACTGTTGACACAGAGATAGTAACAAACTGCATAAGAACATTTTATAAGTATATAACTATGAAAAAAATGATCTAAAAAAACACATCAAAATATAATATAAAATAAAACAATAAAGAAATCTTTCTTATTTAAATTACATATTCCCATGAGCATATAAAGTGCCTAAATGAATAAGTCCATAACAATAAAGTGCAAATCAATAAATTGCTTGAATAAATCAGTCCCTATATCATATATGTGACCAACACCAATGGTTCTAAAAGTGCCCGTGCTTAAGATCCACTTCGTACAATCTTATGCCACCTTAGTGCTCCCAGAACTCTCACCTCCAATTTTCTTTAATAATAGCGTGTATAATATCTCCATCTCTCTCCTCCACTCCTTATAGACACTCCATAACCCTCTTCTCCTTTTGAATCAATGCCCGGATGTATTAGAAGCACCCCTTCTACCTTAGATAAGCTGCATCAAGTTGTTCTTCAGTCCAATGGCAGTCAGTGCTCCGGTCTACTTCATTCTTGCTCTGGAATGTCGGTGGGATAGTGACATCACCAAGTACCAGTGATCGTTGATGGTTGTTGGTTTTGCATTGTACGTTACACTTTCTTGGTCACTCATCTAAGTCGTAAATGACCTTGTAAAAGTAGCAGTGACTTCATCACTGTGCGGTACACAGCCTGTGCAGTAGGGGTGCACCGAAATGAGAATTCTGGACTGAAACCAAAAATTCAGGAAGCAATTGGCCAAAAAGTGACACTCTGGCCACCCCTTCCAGGCTCTCCGGTCCCCGCATCTGGCAGCAGTTACAAACTGGTGTGCTCCCATGCAGGGGCGGACTGACAACTCATGGGGACCCGGGCAATAGGGGATCATGGGGCCCCTGTGTCCTTGCCCAAACAAAAAAGCCTATGAAAAAGGTACCAGGGGCATCTCATGGGGCCCCCTACTGACCCCAGGCCCTCGGGCAGTGGCCGAGTTTCCAAATGGTCAGTCCGCCCCTGCTCCCACGGCATTGCTCATGGATTCCCCCCCCACACTAAACAGTTGACGCAAGAGTTTTCATTATTTTCTTTTAACAAGTATATTTCTGTGAAATAACTTACAGGCAACCAATAACACACAGTGCTACTGTTAGAAGTCAAATAAAAAATGATTTCAATTTTAGTCATTTAAGTGGCCATTTTGTTATATGCCTGCTTGTCATTAAAACACTTATCACTGGGGAAGATATTGTTGAATGATAGATTTATTAGACCACTGAATATTGCACAACTCAACCTGTTTACTATAAATCTTTAAGCAACAGGCCAGAATTCTTTTTTTTTTCCATAATTGAGTTTTATTAATGCAATTTTTCACAGCAAATTCACACTGGACAGAATGAGTGTGTACGAAAATAAAAATGATTAAATACAATATAACAAAATTGTCACATTAGGTTACAAAAGTAGAAAGTAGATTGAATGGGAAACCAGTCCAGACAAAATAGTGAAAATAAAATAGTAATGTATCATATTGCATTATTAAATGGTTCAAGAAATCATAGAAAATTAATCATTTCTAACAAATGCTTTTACTGCAACATACTTATCAAGCAGATTAAATTCTGTCTTGTATTGTTGTATTACTAGGGATAGTACACTTCAAACTTCATTCAAGGCAGGTATTGAAACATGTGGTTTAAACACTTGAGTACTACCTCAGTACTATGATAGTTTGACTGACAATAACTTAGTCATGCCATACTCTACCCAAAGGTATTTTACTTGTTTTTTTGAGACAGACATAGCTCTCGTTTGGTTAATAATAGACCAGCGATATGGGGTTGCTTCCATTTACCTTTCATTTCTTTACTTTTTATAAAAAGATCCCACTTTAACCCCAACCCCTTCTTACCCCCTCCACCACTAATGACATGTCATTCATTGGCACACTGGCTGCTCAAGTGTGTGTTCTGAAGTGCCATTTATAAAAGGCACTTCAGAAATACACATTCACCTCCCTGACATTTTTTTTTTTAATGGTGGTATAAGGATGGTAAAATAAAGGGTTATTTTATTCGAAGGACAAAAAAATGGAGCCTGGATTTTTTGAAAAAGCAGTCAGTCACAATGTACGAGTTAAAATTTCTGAGGTCAGAAAATCCAATTTTAGAAAGTCAAAGCTTGCTGTGGGATGAAATAAAATGGTCCCAATGGATTGTGTAGAAATGATATAGGATGTAGCATTTTTATCTTAATGAAGTGGAATTTTCCTTGGATGGAAAGAATATTTACATTCAGTTATGAGGTCCCTGTTCATAATGTAAAATAAAAAAGTAATATACTGTATATTGTACTCTATTTTCTCCTGCTTCCAATGGCAAGTTGCACTTTAAAGTCACCCTGTCTCAACACTAAAAATACCTATTAATGTATCTGTAAAGAAGAAAGAATACACATACTTTTCCTGTGCTGCTAACACTTACAATCTTGAGAAATCCTCCTCTGAAGTCTTGTGCAGGAACAATCACTTCTGAGTGTTGATCTCCTGGTCCGCCTGGAGGCCAGAATGGTCTGCACCAACCTCTCTCAACCTTTTTGTCTTGGGGGGGGGCAGGGGCGGACTGACAACTCATGGGGCCCCCGGGCAATAGGGGATCATGGGGCCCCTGTGTCCTTGCCCAAACTCAAAAAAGCCTATGAAAAAGGTACCAGGGGCATCTCATGGGGCCCCCTACTGACCCCGGGCCCTCGAGCAGTGCCCGAGTTTCCAAATGGTCAGTCCGCCCCTGGAGGAGGGAGCGAATCCTTGAGCTCATTTTCAAGTCTTGGGGAACAGCTGCCAAAAAATGATATCCACAGCTCATGGCATATTAGCATGCTAAGTGAAATGTAGAAATTTTAAATGAGGGGAAAAAAGAACATGGCATACATAGATTAATTGGCACCCAGGTAGTATACTTTTTTTTTACATCTCCTTCAGTACACAGCAAAATTATTTTCAGTAATATTCTTGGAATTAAGAGGAAAAAAGGAATAATGAAAAGAAATGCAAACATGAAAAAGTGAGGCATCCCTTAATTGTCAGTGTAGAAGTGACCCCTTACATTAGTAGTCAGCAGAAAATTTCGAGAGCACTGGTAATTTTCTCCATTAAAATGTTATTTATCCATTTTCTTATGTTTTTACCATAAGTTGATTTTTCAACGTTGACTATCTTCTAATCCACCAACCTGTGACCAATGCTGCGCGGCAGTGAATTCTGTGCTGGATAGACAGCGAATAATTTATAAGCATACGAGCTGTTTGAATAGTTTGAATAAGATTTGGTCCTCTTGGCTATCCTCCTCATTTGGCTATCCTCCCCTTAGTGTAAATGATCTCCCTAAATCTGCAGACAGTGTTGCTGCTCTATGAAGAGTCTACAGTGGGGAATTTAATTGTTTTACTGATTGTGATGTGATGTCAATATCCTTTAGTTATGGCTGCTACATATCGGTACAAGTTTTCTCTATGTTTATCTACTTATTTATTTATTTATTTATTTTTGTTTGTTTTGTGTAGACATTTTTTTATGTTCTATATGTATGTGACAAAAATTAAAGCATTTAACTAAAAAAAAACCCATCTGATTAAAAATAAATAAATAAATAAAATTTCCCCATATTGCTGGTCAGTTCACCATTGCTCCATACTCAAGGAACCCATAGCAATATCCTGCGTTGCCCAGGGTTCTATGGAACTCTGGTCAAACCAGACTGGTCCACATACTCTGTAGAGCACTGCAGTCTTTGTAGTTGCTATATCAATACATTTAAGTTAAACTCCAAAGAAACAGTTAGATGCCATGAATACTTGACATACAAAAATGTGAGCTGTTTTTTTGCCAAAAGATGTGTAATTGTGCTTAGCCATTGATCCAAGCACCCCATTCAGATAGCATTTCTAAATGCATGACCTTACTTTTTTCTACTGCTTGGTCACCGACTCACCAAGCCTGTTCACTGAACAATGACGAGCAGCAGCAAACTTAATAGGTCATCTTTCTGTTCTCACTTTTCTAAAGCCTGTTTAGTACCATGGGCTGACGGCACAAATGTGCAAAGGACCCTGATTGGCTCAGGGAGCTGTTTTTTCTACTCCAATTTAAGAGCTGCTGTGCATGGAATCATGGGGGAAGCTGATAGGAAGACAGCTTGATGCAGTGGAGGACTGACAACTCATGGGGCCCCCGGGCAATAGGGGATCATGGGGCCCCTGTGTCCTTGCCCAAACTCAAAAAAGCCTATGAAAAAGGTACCAGGGGCATCTCATGGGGCCCCCTACTGACCCCGGGCCCTCAGGCAGTGCCCGAGTTTCCAAATGGTCAGTCCACCCCTGGCTTGATGTATATATGCTAGGTTGTTTTTGGAGAAAAAAATGAATGAATGCACAACTGGGTTGAATCTTTTTTTTTTATTTTGCTTTCCTAAAATTCCGCTTTAAAATTCCTGGTGACTTGTTCTAAGGTTTTATTGTTACCACATCCTCTAATGTGAAACACTGAAATATAGACCAATCTTTAACATGTAAAAAAGTAATAGGATTATAAAGATACCACGCCATATATATAAAAAAAAACGATTACATTTTTATTGTAGAAAATAATAAAAAAAAATACAAACAGACATTGAGGTACTGGTAAAAATAAACACAATCATATGCCATGCCAGTAGTTGACAGGCATATCCCAAAGTAATCCTGGGGAAGGTCCCATACAGTCATCTCCAACACTTTTTCAGGATAAGCTCGCTTCCTCTGGGCAATCTAGCATATATTTCTGATATTACAAACAAAGCAACCAGCCATGAGTATGACATTGCAAATACAAGTATTACAATATGGATCTTTTTACATTTATGTATTATCTGTTATAAGGAGGCTTACATGATTACGTTTAATTCCAGACCCACAAACACCATATGAATCAGAGGAACACAAGGGGCGCCACTAAGTGTAGTATTAACCACTTGCCTTCTGCCCTATAGCAGAAGTACTGCTACAGGGTGGCATGGCTGCACAAAATCACATGTATATATATGTGATTCTCATTTCCAGGTAGGAGGTGCACGCTCGCCGCCCTACCCATGCCACTATTGGCAGCTAGGGATGTCAATCACCTGGTCCCAGCCGGCAATTCCCAGCTGGCACTCGGCGATCATCGGGCAAAGATGACAGGGGAGAGACCTGTGTGTAAACAACACAGGTCTCTCTCCTGTGCATGGACATGCTGCTTTGTATCTTTCTGCACAGCAGACAGATACAAAACAGCATATCTTCCTAGTAGAACACACACAGCACACTGTTAACCCTTTGATCACCCCAGATGTTAACCCCTTCCTGCCCACTGTAATTTGTACAGAGTCAGCGCTTTTTATTAGCACTGATTACTGTATTAGTGTCGCTGGGGATGTCAGTGGCAGTTAACCAGTTCCCCCCAGTGTCGGAATGCCCACTGCAGTCCCGCTATAAGTCGCTGATCGCCACCATTACTAGTATAAAAAAAAAAATTAAAATTCCAGTATATATACACCGCCATTTGTAGATGCTATAATTTCATGTAAACCAATTATTTACACGTATTGAGATTTTATTTTAGCAAAGACATGTAGCAGAATAAATTTTGGCCTAAATTTATGAAGAAACTTTATTTTTTTTAATTTTTTATTGGATATGTTTTATAGCAAAAAGTAAAAAATAATGGGGTTTTTTCAAAGTTGTCTGTCTTTTTTTGTTTATAGCGCAAAAAATAAAAATCACAGAGGTGATCAAATACCACTGAAAGAAAGCTCTATTAGTTGCATGAAGGTGCAATTGTCAGTTAAAATAACGCAGTGCTGTATCACATAAAATGACCTGGTCAGGAAGGGGGGTAAATCCTCTGGAGGGCAAGTGGTTAAAACAATTTAATAAACCATCGGTATATGCAATCACATGGTTCCATAGATAGAGCTGTAAACATGTAAAAACTTTGGCATGAGGATCATCAACACTCCAGGATGGCACATCAGCAGTGGTTTACAGGACTGGAACTGGACAAGACTGAACAGCAAGCCAAACTTCTATGCTTTGATGGAGGATAACAGATTCCAGGATTGCAGTGGGACGTGGAACTAGAAGTGACATCAAGAACCAACCTGGACCACACTGCTGGAAGTGATGTCAGAGGGGGATGGATCCATAACCTTGATAGCCTTGGTAATGCGTTTCAGAGCGCCAATCAACTCTTTTGTCAAACCTCTGGTGTCTTGTCCTCCATGTCCATATTTCTTTTGGAAGGAATTATTCTTGTTATCAGGGTTTGCGCCTTATATCTCATTTTTATTGCATATGAATCAGGTTACTTAACCCTTCAAAAAATTGAGGATCCAATATTGTAGTACAAAAAAGAGAGCAGGTAAATGCCCTATAAAGCAATAATAATAGTAGAGTAATAGGGCAAAGTAACACAGAGAAAAGAAACTTAAACATAAACACTCATAAATTAATATATAAAAAGTCAGCAAGATAAAATGGGAGGGAAAGAGATCCCATTGGAGTATAAGGCAAAGGGGTACTAACATATATCATATGCAGGGACATCTGTGTAATCAAATGCCATCTATTCAACCCATGGAACTCCAAACTGCACCCCTTCTCCCCAAAATATGAAACAAACATTATCAGTTCAAGGGCCATAAATACCCCACTTGTCCATTCCTCTGATACCGATGATATGCCTCTCTATATATCTACTGTATGTTCCTCACATCCCCCATATACGAGAAGCGTTCAGGTGAAAAGGGATGCTAGCGTGGTGGTACACGCAGTAGTAATTGGCAAGTGTGGATAGCGTATTATGTCGAGGACCAGACAACAGTGTTAGTGCATGTATGGAACAGCATGTGGTGAGGACTGTTCTTGTGAACAAAGGCGTAAAACCCGCAGATGTCTACAGAAGACTTCAAGCACAGTATGGTGATAAGACGCTCAGCGGCAGTAAGACATTTGAATGGTGTAAATGTTTCAAAGATGGCTGTAGGTCCATCAGTGACAATCCCAGCCGTGGTGGTTCCCAGCCCACAGCAGTCATTCTTTTGAATATTCAGCTCGTGGAACACCTGATCCTGGATAATCGACGCATTACCTATTGTGAAATTGCACAAGAGACAAATCTTTCTGTGGGAACTGGGAACACATTGATGATGAAGTGAAGCAGGCTATCCTAGGGTGGTTCAGGCGTACTGACAAATCTTTCTATGCCAAACCTTTGCAGGCATTAGTTAAACCCTGGGATAAATGTATAAATGTAGCAGGGGAGTATGTAAAAAAAAAAAATAAATAAATGCAGTTTCCACTCCTCAAAATGTGTTCTTTTTTTGTATAAAAAGTACTACTTCACCCAGAAAATCGCTGCAATTATAAATGTTTAGGCATTAATGCTTATTTCTTTTGTTTGTATTGGTATGTCACAAAAAAGTAGAGAGAGAAAAAGCCAAATCTGACACATTCCACGCAAACCCCCAAAAATGGATTGGACAAAATTATTGGCATCCTCAATTTAATATTTGGTAGCACACCCATTGGAAAAAATAACTGAAATCAATTGCTTCCTGTAACCATCAATGAGTTTCTTACACCTCTCTACTGGAATTTTGGACCACTCTTCTTTTGTCAACTGCTCCAGGTTTCTCAGATTGGAAGGGTTCCTTTTGCCAACTGCTGTTTTGAGTTCTCTCCACAGGTGCTCTATGGGGTTGAGATCTTGAGTAATTGCTGACCAGTTCAGTACTCTCCAGCACTTTGAAAACATTTCTGGGTGCTTTTTGGTGCGTGTTTTTGGTAATTGTCCTGCTGTAATACCCATGACCTCTGACGGAGACCCAACTTTCTGAGACTCGGCCCTACATTGCACCCCAGGATCCTTTGGTAGGCTTCAGATTTCATAATGCCATGCACACGGTCAAGACATCCAGTGCCAAAGCAATCCCAAAACATCAGTGAACCTCCATCATATTTGACTGTAGGGACTGTATTCTTTTCTTTAAAGGCCTTATTTCTTTTTCTGAAAACAGAAGAATGATGGGCTTCACCAAAAAGCTGTTATTTTGTTTTGTCTGTCCCATTCTCCCAAAAGGATTTTGGCATTCTCAGGTAAGTTTGGCAAACTCCAATCTGGGGTTTTTATGTTTATGTGTCAGCAGGGGGGGCTTCCTGGGTCTCCTACCATAGAGTCCCTTTTCATTCAAAGCACAATGTATAGTGCAAGCTGACACAATTGTATCCTGTGCCTGAAGGTCAGCTTGAATTTGTCTGGAAGCTGATCGAGGTTCTTTATCCACCATTCAAACAATCTTTAGTTGCAATATTTGATCATTTTTTTCTCTTTCGTCCACATCCAGGGGTACAGGAATATTAAGATCTCTGGAGATGAACTTATAACCTTGAGATTGTCCATGTTTTTCCACAATTTTTGTTCTCAAATCCTCATACAGTTCTTTGCTGCTCTTTCTTCTCTCCATGCTCCATGTGGCACACAGAGACACACAACAGAATGGTTGATTCCATTTTTCACCATTTTAACTGTTTGCCTGTGTGATTTCTATATTAACAGCTATTGTGGATAGTTTGTCATGCTTTCATTTATTTTATGTGAGTGAAATACGTTCTATCCAATAAATGGTTTTTAGTGGATTCACGCTATGAGCTTCCTTTCACATCTATCCCTGATTACGGAGTGTAATAGTTTGGAGGATGTCCCGCCATCATATCAGTCTCTAATTGATGAAGGGCTTGTTGATTGATGATCTGTACTACGCTGACACTCACCACAAACACTATTGTTTATCAGGTTTGGATAGGCCATGATATCTGGTGAGTGCTACTGAATTGGGGGAGGTTTTCCTCTGGAGTATGTGGTGATATCTGAGTGCACTTCATTCAATCAATTAACATTATGTTGTTCACGTGGTGATTTCAAGTGGATCAATAATGTCTTTGCTCTTCATCATAATTTTCATTTTCCAGTTGGTGGACTTATGTCATATGATTTAAATATTTGTGTATATTTTTTGAAGTGTTATATTTTGTATCATATTCCCACTTTGCTATTGTGTTTCACCTTTTTTTTTTGCTCTGCTTTTATTTGTCATGATTTCTATATTGTCAGCACCTGTTAATTGATACAGGTGAGTTTAATTACAAACTACAGGAGCATCACAAACATGAAATGCAATTATTTCTTACAATTTTGAGAAGGTGCCAATAATTGTATCTAGTCCATTTTTGGGATTTTGTGTGGAATGTGTCAGATTTAGCTTTTTGTTTCTCCACTTTTTTGTGTCATACCATTACTAACAAAAGAAATAAATATGAGAATGCCAAACCATTTGTAATTGCAACAATTTTCTGGGTGAGGTGGTGCATTATCTGACAGGAATACAGAGATGCCAATACTTTTGGCGATGACTGTATATATAAACTGGAAAAAAGAGATAAAGAAAGACAAAAGGACACATACCAATTTTAAATATATCACAGAAAGCAAAAGGAGTAGCTTAGCAATCCTTGATGGCCCTTGAGGTTCACCATAGCCCATATACAGGTTGTCAAGGAGGTGATGGGGGTGTCTCCACAATCCTAGGTAATCCATATGCTATTATAATAAAAGCTCAGAAGCATGAAAGAAGACCTAGTAATCAGTAATGGGAAGAAATGACAAACAACAGGAAACTAATAATATATGAAAGGGTACTTTTTTTCAAAGCAGAAAATATTTATTCTTCAATAGCAGCCATTTTCAACATTCAGCTGATATAGTAGTAACCAGACGTAAGTCATCTTCCACAACTGTGGCTTTGTAACACAAATATATATTATGAATTGATTATAACACTTCCTCTTTAACATGTTTCTGAAAGTCCACCTGCAAGCACTAGCACATGATTAAAGGAAACCATAGATTAATAGCAGTTTGTATAAACAAGTATGCTAAAAGTAAGACTATAATGCAGGATGAGTTGAGATCCTTTTTATCAGCTGTTGCGAAGTTCACTTTGAATATAGCAACTCAATCAAGATAGTGGGAAACACAACTAAAAGCTAGAAGAAAGGTCAGGAGATTTATGTTTCTATAAATCCACAACCTGACCTAGAAGTTTTACTCACAGCCACAAAGGAAGCTGAGAATTCTGCTTAATGTTTTAGAGACAAAGTGAAAACCATCTATTGAACCACCTGCAGTACATCATCCTGGTTGGATGGAAGCAAAACTCTTGAACAGCTACTACTACAATGAACTCTTAAAGAAGGTGTGCTTAAAGTGTATGTAAGCCCAAACAAAGTCTTTTATTTGCTCCCCTTTGGGCGATTAATTATAGCATTAATAGGGTTTAGCTATGTCTGTTCAATTAGAGCAAAATAATACTTGTTGTTTCTGCTGAAATCTGGTCAGCTGATAACTTCCTGTGCTCTATGCCTATGCCGCTGTCCTGTCTGTGTT